TAAGTAAAGAAAAGAAAGAAAGAAAGAAAGAAAGAAAGAAAGAAAGAAAGAAAGAAAGAAGAAGGGGAGGGAGGGAGGGAGGGAGGGAGGAGAAGGGCTGAAGGAAGAAGCGAAGGAAGGGAAGGAAGGAAGGAAGGAAGGGAGGGAGGGAGGGAGGGAGGGAGGGAGGGAGGAAAGAAAAGAAAGAAAGAAAGAAAGAAAGAAAAAGAAAGAAAGGGAAAGAAAGAAAGAAAGAAAGAAAGAAAGAAAGAAAGAAAGAAGAAGGGAGGGAGGGAGGGAGGGAGGGAAGGAGGAAGGAAGGAAGGAAGGAAGGAAGGAAGGGGAGGGAGGGAGGGAGGAAAGAAAAGAAAGAAAGAAGAAAGAAAGAAAGAAAGAAAGAAAGAAAGAAAGAAAGAAAGAAAGAAAGAAAGAAAGAAAGAAAGAAAGAAAGAAAGAGGTTCTATGTGGTTCTATGTCCTAGCATGAGGAGATAACCCTTATTAGCCGTGACTGAGAAGTGATGCTGCAATGGATCCGAATAAATAAGCTTACTAAAATAATCCTCGTCTTTCACTAGCCTTACAGCCTTCCCTATATCTCTTAGTGATTACCCTAGAATTTACTGCCCCTAGCCCAGACCCAGTCTTGTCATTTCTTCACAAAATGTGTCATTCTTTGCCTGAAAGGTATAAAAGTGTTCTACTTTGGCCATTTCTTTGGGTCTTCCCTCTCTTGTGAGGATCCCCATGTATATGTAAAATTAATAAGACCTGTATGCTTTTGTCCTATTAATCTATCTTGTATCAATTTGGTTGAGATGGAGCAGGGAACCCTCTTAGGGGTCTCCTGGGGACTTCCTTCAAACGTGGAAATAAAGGAAAATCTTTAGTTCCTTCAAGGGAAATTCCAGGCACCCAGCTAGCCTTGAGAAGTACATGAGCAACCTGATAAACAAGAAGGTAATAACAGCTTAAAACAATAGCCAGGGAAGTTAAAGTCCCAAAATGTTTGGCTCCATGTAGAAACTAAAGATAACATCTCAGTCCCCAAGTTGTTTTTCAGAAATCTGGACCGTTACCCAATGGAAAATGTCATCTGCTGGCACATAGACCTCAGATAAGGGGCCACTGAGGACTGAACTCTGATCCCCATTCTTTGTCCTAAATTTCTTCCTGAGGGTCCTGAAGGAAGTCATGCCCACAGGCCAGAGCTCAACATTTCTTCCTGCTGATGCCAAGTTTTTAGACAAAGCTTTGCTTCCCTAACAAATCACATATCAGAGAATCGTTTTGAATCCACCTATGACCTGTGGGCCACCCCCATCCCTCACCCCACTTTGAGACGTCCTGCCTTTTTAGGTCAGATTAATATATAACCTCCATGTAGTGATTTATGATTTTGCTTGTAACCTCTGCATCCCCATCTTTTTTTTTTTTTTAAGTTATTTATTTATATTTTTAATAGAGACAGGTTCTTGCCGTGTTGCCCAGGCTGATCTTGAACTCCTGGGCTCAGACAATCCTCCCACCTCAGCCTCCCAAAGTGCTGGGATTACAGGCATGAGCCACTGTGCCCAGCCTGCCTCCCCATCTTTAAAAACTCTTACCTCTAAGCCATTAGGGAGTTCTGATCTTAAGCATAAGCTGCCACTTCTCCTTGCTTGGTGCCCTGCAATAAATGCCTCATTTTCTCCAGCTGAAAATCCTGATGTCAGTGTTTGGCTTTGCTGTGCCACCCAAGTTTGGTTCAGCAACAGCCCCTAGACCCAGCAGAAGATTCCACTTAAAAACAAAGATGGGCCAGGCGCAGGGGCTCACGTCTGTAATCCCAGCACTTTGGGAGGCCGAGGCAGGGGTATCACTTGAAGTCAGGAGTTCAAGACCAGCCTGGCCAACGTGGTAAAACCCTGTCTCTGCTAAAAATACAAAAATTAGTTGGGTGTAGTGGTGTGTGCCTGTAATCCCAGCTACTCATGAGGCTGAGGCAGGAGAATCGCTTGAACCCAGGAGACAGAGGAGAGCTGTGAGCTGAGATCGCGCCACTGTACTCTAGCCTGGGTGACAGAGCGAGACCCCATCTCAAAAAAAACAAAACAAATTGACAACAACAAAAATCAAAAACCCAAAACCCCAAAGATGGGTAGAGGGGGTCTTTAGGCTCCCTTATAATGCCATTGCCTGAGCTCCTGGATCAAGGTGTTCTTGAAGTTAAAAATCTATCCTTGGACCTTTTAGTTTCATTTAAGTTCATTGGAGTCAGGTTTTCTGTTTTTTGGTACTAAAAGAGCCCTGATGGATAAATCCTTCTGTTCACATTTGCCTAAGATGACTCTCAGAGGTAGAGAGATATGTTTTGCTATAAGGGTGTGTGCACAACAATATATGAACTCCTTGCTCGAATTATACAGTTTGGTTGTTAAGTTGCAGAAATTCACAGGATAATTACCAAATTTCCACTTGTTTTGCTTTGGATACTAGTCCTTGATTAAAACTATTTTCTATTTGTGTGTGTTTTTCTGCTCTTTTAATACATAGAATTCAATTGTAGGTACTCATGGAGGACCAATCAATTCTCATGTGTTATAACATGTTTCCTTCTGGAATGTAACTTTCCTAGGCCGTTCACCGAGCCAACAAAGCTAAGAATAAATGTTCATATAAGGAATATATGCCTAAAAGCGTAGCTCTAACAAAGTCCTCCCTCCCTCATATGTCCATTTTCTCTTTTAATTGTAGCTTATGTGCCATTATCTCAAGGAAATGATTAACCAAGCTTATCTTTAACACCACATCAGAGTCCTCTTTCCCACAAAGCATTCCAAACCATATTTTATTTCCCTCTGACTTCACTGTAGGTAGCTCAATGCCCTGGGTAAAGAATTTTCTCAGTACATGCTTGTTGAATTCTGTTAAATCTACACACACTTGCAAGCAGGGTAAAGGCTATAAAGTATTTTAAGGTTACAAATCTAACTTGATTATAGATCACTAGCGCTGGAAGATACCAAGAGTCATTAGCTGAACCCACCCTTACCGTAGATCAATCTCTCACTCTCTCAAGAAGAAAAAACATTATAGATGTAACTACAGCCCACTCTACTCCTTCCTTCTTCCTCCCTTTCTGCCCAGAGATAAGCTCTAAGGAGATGCCGGCGTACATCAATCTGATGCATGTTTTTGTACTTTTATGATGTATGTTAGTGTCTGAAAATTTACATAAATGGAATCATATTAAATATATTTTCAGTGTGCTTTTTTTCACTCGATATTACATTTTTTATTTTACCCACATGGATCAACATGGCTGTGCCCTAGGACACACACCTGTACGTGAGCACAGGGAACCATGAATACAGCCGTTCACTGCAGCACGATTCATAACAGGGAAGAAGTAGAAACCACTCAGCTTAAAGCAATGAGTGAGCTATTTGTTTCTATAATGGAATGCCAATCCACAGTTAAAACAAATAACTTTCGTATTTTACCTAAGAGGGGCATGGTCCAGAGAAATTATGTAAAATGACAAATGTCACTCAGATGGATAATGGGAAATCTGAACCTGAAACCAGGACTCCTGAGTCTAAGGATAGTGGTCTTTCTAATGAACCTTATCTTTTGTAATAATTTAAACTTCCAGAAAAACTGTGAAAACAATACACACAAATAATTCTCCTATACTTTTTACTCGATTAGTGATTTTTAACGTTTTGCCACATTTTCTTTTCTTTTCTTCTAAATAGAGACAAGGTTTTGCTGTATTGACCGGGCTGGTCTTGAACTCCTGTCCTCAAGCGATCCTCCGATCTTGGCCTCCCAAAGTGCTGGGATTACAGGCATGAGCCACCGCGCCTGACCACATTTGTTTTATTCTCTCTCTCATTCTCTCTGTTTAGAGATATAATTTTTTTCCCTAAACCATCCAAGAGAGGTTGCTTGAATATATAATGACCCTTTTGCTATCATACTTCAGTGTGTTTTCATATTAATAAAAATATGCTTCAAAATATCCATAGCAGAGATATCAAATGCAGAAAATTTCACATTGATACCGAATTTCTTTTTATAATCTATGGTCCATATTCAAATTTTGTTGAATGCCTCAATAGTATCCCTGAGAGAGAATCTCTCATCACATTCACCCTCAGCATAGGAGTCAGTCCTGGATTATGCATTGTGTTCAGTGGTCAAACATAGTTTTTATTTGTTTATTTATTTGCACCAAACACATTTGCATTTATTTTCTTTTTAAAAAAAGCAAATGACAAAGACCCAGTTTACCAGTTTTCCTTTTATAAACCTAAGCTTAACATCACATATTTAAACAATTGTCAAGACCAAGTTGTCAGGATTCAGGCTCAGCTAGAAAACACCCTTAATTTATATTAAACCAGAGATGTTTTACCATTAATGCATTAATATATTTTACTACTAATATATTTTACTACTACATACTAAAAAAAAAAAATGAATTTAGTTCTGTAGAAGATTCGCCCTGGCAATGTTGACCTCACAGCGGGCCAACACTATGTGGCTCACATTTCAGACACAATGGAAAAGCAGATCCATGCTGGTGTTAGTGCACAGTCTTGTCCTACACTAAAGAGTCAAGGCTCACCTTGGAGTACATTTAATGAAAAAGCAAAAAGCATACAGATATTTACAATAATATATATTTTTTTGAGACAGAGTCTTGCTCTGTTGCCTAGGCTGGAGTGCAATGGTGTGATCTTGGCTCACTGTAGCCTCCGCCTCCCGGGTTCAAGCAATTCTTCTGCCTCAGCCTCCCAAGTAGCTGGGATTACAGGCGCCTGCCACCACACCTGGCTAGTTTTTTGTATTTTTAGTAGAGACGGAGTTTCACCATGTTGGCCAGGCTGGTTTTGAACTCCAGACCTCACTTGATCCACCTGCCTTGGCCTCCCAAAGTGCTGGGGTTACATGTGTGAGCCACTGCACCTGGCCTACAATAATTTTAAAGACAAAAAAAAAAAAGGTCCTATTAAGGGTCACAACAATAAACTCAAAAGTCTATGACAAATAGAGGTTCCGATTAGCTGTTTATAAATACTTTAGGTGCAATTATTCTGAAAGGCAAGTTACCTTGAAATCTACAAAAAAAGTCTCTGTTAATCCTCAGATGGTTCTTGTTATAGTTTCACATTTCTTTTAAGTGGATGCCTTGAATTACTTGTTATCCAAGTGCAGCAGCTGCTCCTTAACATTTGTTGTTAAAGACATTAACTGGCCATCTTCTTCAATTTCTACTCTTTCTTGACCATTCTTGACAATTCTCTTTGTAGTGATTTTTCTGCCATTAACCATTTTAGCAGAAGTGTTATCGATTTGAAGTTGCCAATCCCACTACCACCAAATGATGTGGAAGAAAATGAAGCGAGGCCCCCGTGACCTAGTGACTCAAATGAAGTATTAATAAATCCTGTATCAAAAGAAGATAATCCACATCCAAAAGATGTAAATCCACTGAATGTGGAGAAAAACTACCCCAACCCTTGGCTTCTGCTTCCACGGGAACCCCTTTGATTCTGAAACAAGTCCTCAAAAGAGTCGTCAAAGAAGTCAAATGAAAATGGGTCCCTTCCACCAAAAAATTCCCTTAAAACATCATCTGGGTTACAGAATGTGAAACCAAACTCAAACGGACTGTCAAAATGACTTCCACCTCCTCCTCCACCATTTAATCCTTCTTTGCCATATTTGTCATAGATGTCCTGTTTTTTAGCATCTGACAACACCTCACACACCTCAGCTACTTGTCTGAATTTTCTCTCTGCTTCTTCTTTATTCTCAGGATTTTCATCTAGGTGCCACTTCAGTGCCAGTCTCTGGTGTGCCTTTTTAATATCCTCGGGTGAGGCCTGTCTCCGCACTCCTAGAGCTTCATAGTAATCCACCATGATTTTGTTTGTTTTTTTGAGACACAGTCTCGTTCTGTCATCCAGGCTGGAGTGCAGTGGCACCATCTTGGTTCACTGTGACCTCTGCCTCTGGGGTTCAAGACATTCTTCTGTCTCAGCCTCCTAAGTAGCTGGGATTACAGGCCTGCACCACTATGCCCAGCTAATTTTTATATTTTTGCTAGAGACGGGGTTTCAGCACGTTGGCCAGGCTGGTCTTGAACTCCTGACCTCAGGTGATCCACCTGTCTTGGCCTCCCAAAATGCTGGGATTACAGGCATGAGCTGCCGTGCCCAGCCTAACCCATCATTTTAAGAGATTGCTGGAACAGGTCTGAGGATGGAGGCAGCTGAAGGCAGGCGGGAGGCAGGGGCAGCGGCCAAGATCTCCTCTCGGCTCTGGCACTGCTGTGCTGGTGGTGGTGACTACTCACACTTTCCTCTCAAGCCTATTTTTTTTTTAATTTATTTTTATTTTTAAATTTTTTTAAATTTTTAAATTTTACTTTAATTTCTGGGATACACGTGCAGAACATGCATGTTTGTTACATATATATACATATGCCATGGTGGTTTGCTGCACCTATCAACCTGTGCTCTTCCTCCCCTTGCCCCTGACCCCCTGACAGGCCTCGGTGTGGGATGTTCCCCTTCCTGTGTCCAAGTGTTCTCATTGTTCAATTCCCACTTATGAGTGAGAACATGCAGTGTTTGGTTTTCTGTTCCTGTGTTAGTTTGCTGAGAATGATGGCTTCCAGATTCATCCATGTCCCTGCAAAAGACATTAACTCATTCTTTTTAATGGCTGCATGGTATTGCATGGTATGTGTGTGCCACATTTTCTTTATCCAGTCTATCATTGACAGGTATTTGGGTTGGTTCCAAGTCTTTGCTATTGTAAATAGCAATAAACATACATGTACAGATGTCTTTATAGTAGAATGATTTATAATCCTTTGGGTATATACCCGGTAATGGGATAGCTGGGTCAAATGGTATTTCTGGTTCTAGATCTTTGAGGAATCGCCACACTGTCTTCCACAATGGTTGAACTAATTTACACTCCTACCAACAGTGTAAAAGCGTTCCTATTTCTCCACAGCCTCACCAGCATCTCATTTCCTGACTTTTTAATGATCACCATTCTAACTGGTGTGAGATGGTATCTCATTGTGGTTTTGATTTGCATTTCTCTAATGACCAGTGATGATGAGCTTCTTTTCATATGTTTGTTGGCCACATAAATGTTTTCTTTTGAGAAGTGTCTGTTTATATCCTTTACCCACTTTTTGATGGGGTTGTTTGTTTTTCCTTGTAAATTTGTTTAAGTTCCTTGTAGATTCTGGATATTATTAGACCTTTGTCAGATGGGTAGATTGCAAAAATGTTCTCCCATTCTGTAGGTTGCCTATTCACTCTGATGATAGTTTATTTTGCTGTGCAGAAGCTCTTTAGTTTGATTAGATTCCATTTGTCAATTTGGGCTTTTGTTGCCATTGCTTTTGATGTTTTCATTATGAAGTCTTTGCACATGCCTGAATGGTATTGTCTAGGTTTTCTTCTAGGGTTTTACGCTTTTGAGTTTTACATTTAAGTCTTTAATCCATCTTGAGTTAATTTTTGTATAAGGTGTAAGGAAGGGATCCAGTTTCAGTTTTCCGCATATGGCTAGCCAGTTTTCCCAGCACCATTTATTAAACAGCGAGTCCTTTCCCCATTGCTTTTTTTGTCAATTTTGTCAAAGATCAGATGGTTGTAGATGTGTGGTGTTATTTCTGAGGTCTTTGCTCTGTTCCATTGGTCTATGTATCTGTTTTTGTACCAGTACCATGCTGTTTTTGTTACTGTAGCCTTGTAGTATAGTTTGAAGTCAGGTAGCATGATGGCTCCAGCTTTGTTCTTTTTGCTTAGAATTGTCTGGGCTATTTAGGCTCTTTTTTGGTTCCATATGAAATTTAAAGTAGCTTTTTCTAATTCAGTGAAGAAAGTCACTGGTAGCTTGATGGGAATAGCATTGAATCTATAAATTACTTTGGGCAGTATGGCCACTTTCACGATATTGATTCTTCCTATCTGTGAGCATGGAATGTTTTATGTTCGTTTGTGTCCTCTCTGATTTCCTTGAGCAGTGGTTTGTAGTTCTTGAAGAGATACTTCACATCCCTTGTAAATCATATTCGTACATATTTTATTGTCTTTGTAGTTTGTGAATAGGAGTTCAGTCATGATTTGGCTTTCTGGTTGTCTATCATTGGTGTATAAGAATGCTTGTGATTTTTGCACATTGATTTTTTTATCCTGAGAGTTTGTTGAAGTTGTTTATCAGCATAAAGGGTTTTTGGGCTGAGATGATGGGGTTTTCTAAATATACAATCATGGCGTCTGCAATCAGAGACAATTTGACGTCCTCTCTTCCTATTTGAATACACTTTTATTTCTTTCTCTTGCTTGATTGCCCCGGCCAGAACTTCCAATACTATGTTTAATAGGAGTAGAGAGAGAGGGCACCCTTGTCTTGTGACGGTTTTCAAAGGGAATGCTTCCAGCTTTTGCCCATTCATTATGATATTGGCTATGGGATTGTCATAAATAGCCTTATCATTTTCTCAAGCCTACTTTTTAAACAATTTATTACTGCTGAATCTGAGCATGTTTCACGGATATGTCTTTTGTAACTCCTCTATTACACACACCTGCTGACTTTAATATACTCTTGAGTACAACCGCTATATTCTTGGTATTGTACACATTATTACTTACTACCAAGAAGAAGCCTCCAGTCCTTCATGACAATTTAAAGACACAAGTTAAATACCAGTCCCCATCCCTTGAGGAATTCATAGTACAGCACAGACACATGGGGTGCAAGTGAAGTGAATACATTCAAAACCAGCTCCACCACTTATGACCTAAGTGGTGCAGGGCAAGAAAAAGCATCACTCTGACTCAATTTCCTGAGTGTAAAATGGTGATAATAATATCTACCTCACAGGTTGTTTGGAAGATTAAATTAAATAATGTGTGGGAAGAGCCCAATATGAATTCATAGCAGATACATTTTCTTTGTGCACTGAGATTTAGTTTCTGTTGAGTTTGTGTGTTCGTGGTTATGACACCTAATACCCCTAAAAACTATTCACAGTAGGAGATGTGGGAGCTGACACTTAAGTCATTTCTTCCCCAGTTTATGACAAGGTTACCTGGTTTCCACTCAAACACAGATAAAGGTGCTTTCTCTTTTACATGCTACACCACATCAAACTTAGTATCGTGCAAAAGATTTTTGCTTACACAGTCATAGGAAAGAAAATTTGCATCAGTTTGCTTGAACATTTTGGTTAGCCATACTTTACTCACATTCTGAAACTCAGTCATGTAATTCAGAGGGGTTTTCCTCTTCTTAGATGATTCGCAGTATATTTATCCAGGAATAATCGCTGAGATGGAAAGATGACAATTATAAGCATTCATACAAGTAAAAGTATTAGAATTTTAGTTCTATTTTAGACTTCCAAATAGGGTGCACAATGAATTGATAAGGCAATCCAGTGGTTCTTCACAGGTTTCTAATATTTAGGGTGTTTTCGTCAAGCTGAATTGCATTTATTGCCAGTTCTTCCATCTGCAATTGCAAAGAGGGTGATGTAGGGAAGAAATGTCAGGATAGCATGAGGTTTAACTCCAGTAACAATTTACTGAAAATAACATCAAATATTTATTTCCACGTTAGTACCTACCTAATTTCAGATAATTTAGCTTACAAGATAAAACGAATGCCATTGGTTGTTGCTAACCATTATTAAAAGACAATAATGTAAGTTTTAAGAGCCTAAAAATAAAAAGCTTTTCTTTCTTTCTTTCTTTCTTTCTTTCTTTCTTTCTTTCTTTCTTTCTTTCTTTCTTTCTTTCTTTCTTTCTTTCTTTTCGGTATTCAGTGTTTGACGTTGGTGCCTGCCTGATTTCCGGATGATTTGGGTTGGAACGAGGGTGGGCTTGACGACGACGGCGGCGGCGGCGGCGGCGGCGGCAACGGCAACAGCAGCAACAGCAGCAACAACAACAGCGCAATTTGGAGAGTTGTATTAGCTAGGGCTCCTAAATTGAAAATAATTTTCTTTCTTTCTTTCTTTCTTTCTTTCTTTCTTTCTTTCTTTCTTTTAATTTGGAGAGTTGTATTAGCTAGGGCTCTAAATTGAAAATAATAGAAGCCCAACTCTAAGGAGCTAAGGAAAAAAGAAGGCTGTATTATAAAGTTTCTCATGGGTCATGAGTCATGAATATGAACCCCGTTAACAATTAAAGCAAGGGATTCTAATGCATTCAGGGTTCTCAATCCATCATTTCTCTGTCCTTTTCTGTGGATCTGTTTATTATTATTCTTATTCTGTGTCTATGAGCCATCTTCCTTTTATTCTGGTCACATGGAGAAAAACAAGATTGACAGCTTCTGAACTTGCCACCCAACATTCTGTCACTGGAGGGAGTCTGTCTCTTTCTCAGGCCTAATTGTAAAATTCCTAGTGAAAATCTTTGATTGGTCCAGCTTGGATCAGGTGTATACTTCACACCAATCAACTGCTGCTAGCTAATCAGAGTGATACTGAAGGAACATGTGGATAGGAGGAAAAGAGCAGGTCCTAGAAGAGGAGAACTGGTGAGACAATAGATGACTGCTGTTATGGACAGAATTGTGTCCCCCAAAATCCATATGTTGAAGCCTTAAGTCCCAATGTGACTGTGTTGGTGATGGGGACTTAAGGGAAGTAACTAAGATTAAGTGAGGTTATAAGGGCGAGGACCTAATTCGATAGGATCAATGTCCTTATACAAAGAGAATGAGATAGCAGAAATGTTTCTCTCTCCTTCTCTCTGCATGAGCCTAAGGGAAGGCTATGTGAAGACATGGCAAGAAGATGGTCATCTACAAGCCAGAAAGAGAGGTCTCACCAGACACCAACCCTACCAGCACCTTTATTTTAGACTCCTAGCCTCCAAAACTGTGAGAAAAT